CACCTTAAGCTTCCAGCATCTCTTTCTAGCTTTCAGATTACCCCCTGCTAACATACTATTTTCAGCCACTTCCTTCATTGTCATCTTTCTAGCCAGCATTTTAGAATAAGCTAGCTTAACTGAGAACTTTCCTTTAACAAGCAAATCACATTGCCAAGCATCCTCAGACCTTGGGTTCAAGGAGTTAATCTGAAGAATATGGTCAGCAGCCTCAGGAGTAAACAAAGATTTAACAAGATTACTATCCCAATACTTCCCTCCAGCCAATAACAGATCTTTGACTCTAAAGCTTCCCCCATCAATCCCAACTCTAAGCTCAGGTTTCCCACATTTAATCCCTGGAACCCAGTTAACCTCATTAAGCCTAGTTTGAAGACCACTCCTTATGGTGAGTTTAACACATTGCTGCAAATCAGGAAGGAAGGAGGCCCATGATGACCACAACCATGATGCACCTCCATTATTCTGCCACTCAAACATAGAACAAACTTTGAAATACTTATGCTTTAAAATTCTGCTCATCAACAAATCAGGCTTTTCAATAATTCTCCACAATTGCTTCATGATCAGTGCCTCAAGATCTTTCTCGATCAATCCCCTTGCCCCTCATTCTTCGAGAATCAGAAAGGTCCTTTTCAAGTTTGAGTTTGTTCATTTGGAATCTGAACAATTGCAAATCTTTGAATCCCAGACCCCCCTCATCTTTAGGAATTGCAAGATTGTCCCAAGAAAGCCAATGCATCCCCTTACCATTGTTATCTCCCTTTTGCCACCAGAATCTAGCCATGAGTCGACACACCTCCTTGCACACAGAAATAGGAATGACAAAACAGGACATGACAAACACAGGCAAAGCACTTAGAACATGTTTCACTAAAACCTCCTTCCCAGCAGTAGATAGGAAGTGGTTCTTCCAACTACAGATCCTCTCTCTAACAACCTCAACCACAAATTGAAAATTTTCGATTTTAGAAGCTCCAATGCCCAACGGTAGCCCAAGATACTTGGAAGATCTCTTGATTTGTACCCCATTTAGAATAGCAGAAAGTCTGGCACTTAGGGAAGCAGAACCATTTTTGCTCAGAAAAAGAGAGGATTTGTGCAAATTCACTTTTTGACCAGTGAACAACTGGTATTTATGAAGAACCTCCAATAACATGCTTGCATGAGCTTCAT